GGGAGGGTTCAATCACTGCCCACCTGCAGCGTCTGAGCGACCAAGGCACTTACGTGCTAAGATACCGAAAACAGCTTCGGGTCCAACGCGGAGCCAGCCCCGGGCACAGATAAGAGGAAGGAAACGCTAGGGGAAAGCATCGAGAGAGCCCTAGAGATAGGTGGAGGCCGAGAGGTAGCACCTTTGGGGTGAATTTTGCGGGCACAGTTATTGATAAAAGCCTAGAGATTAGAGGTTTCAGCAGGTCCATCAAACATTTTTGACCCACACTGTGTGCCAGGACCTGTCCTTTCGGTACTGGTGATAAAATGTGCATAAGACACGAACCCTGACTTCACGAGTACCTATTCAGGGGAGTTGGGATTCTGTGTGGGACTGGAGGAGACTGGGGGTGGGGCATGGAGAGAGATGTAGGATCCCGGAATGCAAGCCAGAATGAGGGGTTTGGACTGACCTTAGGCAGATAAGGGAAAGAAGATAATGCAAAGAAGTCAGCATCCCCATCCCCCAAACTGTTCCTAGGCTTCACCGAGCCACCCAAGAACTAAAACCTGAAAAAAGTATCCGTCATTTGCCTCCCTATATTAGTATTTATGGTAAATTAACGCCTCCTAGGAACTTCAAAAAGGAAAACTGCCATTTCATAGTAAAGCTTTGTCATGATTGCTCAATGTGTCATACTCCCTTATGTCCATAAAAAATCTTCCATAGAATTAATTTTAGTTTGAAAATACAGTATGCCACATAGTGCCCTGGTTGGTGGCTCAGTGGTTAGAGTGTCTGAGTGGTAACGCAGTCTTCTTACGCCACCTGCTGTAGATCTCAGGTATAGCATTTTATTTATTTATTTATTTATTTATTTATTTATTTTATTTGTTTTATATTTTATTGATTTTTACAGAGAGGAAGGGAGAGGGATAGAGAATCAGAAACATCGATGAGAGAGAAACATGGATCAGCTGCCTCCTGCACACCCCCAACTGGGGATGTGCCTGCAACCAAGGTACATGCCCTTGACCGGAATCAAATATTTAAAATATATCTTTATTGATTTCTGAGAGGAAGTGAGAGGGAGAGATAGAAACATCAATAAGAGAGAACCATCGATCAGCTGCTCCTGCACACTTCACACTGGAGATCGAACCCTCAACCCAGGCACGTGCCCTGGACTGAAATCAAACCTGGGACCTTTTGGTCAACAGACCGACACTCTATCCACTGAGCCAAACCAGCTAGGGAGGGAATTTTTATTTTTAAAAATGATTTTATGTGGAGAGATGAACCGGGGAATTTATATGCATATATGCATAACCAATGAACACAGAAAATAGTGTAGGGAAGGCCTGGAAGGGGCGGGTTCGGGGTGGAGGGGGTCAATGGGAAAGAAAACAAAGGGAATATCTGTAATACTTTCAACAATAAAGATAATTTTTAAAAATGATTTTATGTTTGTTAAATTGTCTACAATTAAATGTATCATTGTGTAATCACTTTAAAAAGCAATAAAAGTTGCCTTCTAATTTAAATGATTATTCTAGCCCAGCTGGCATGGCTCAGTGGTTGGGCATTGACCTATGAACCAGGAGGTTGCTGGTTTGATTCCCAGTCAGGGCACATGTCGGGGTTGCGAGTTCGATCCCCAATAGGGGGTGTGCAGAAGGCAGCTGATCAATGATGCTCTCTCATCATTGATGTTTCTGTTTCTCGCTCTCTCACCCTTCCTCTCTGAAATCAATAAAAACATATTTAAAAAAGATTATTCTATAATTCATTCTGGTTTCATTTAAAAAACACACAGAAGTTTAACAGCATGTATACCTCTTGTATGCATGGGAGTGACCAGGAAAAATGAGCAACTTATTCTTAAGTTTAAATCTTTGAGCTTCCTGAAATGTATTTAGTTAAGGCAGGGATGGGGGACCTTTATTCTGCCAAGGGCCATCTGGATATATATAACATCATTTGAGGGCCATACAGAATTATCAACTTAAAAATTAGACTGGTCAAACACCTCATTAACTCACCCCTAAGCTTGGCAGACCAAATGACGTTCCACACCCCTGGTTAAGGAATGAATTATGGACTCAATTTTTTCCCAGGTGATTAATTGTCCCAACCTCTAGCATCCTAAATATTCATCAATAGGCATCTCATTAAATAAATTATGCTAAAATCACCCACTGGAATACCGTGCTGACAAAAATAAATGAGGAAGCTTTATGTCATGTGCTGATAGGACAGATGCTCAAAACATATTATTAGGTGAAAAAAGCAAGGTAGGGAACAGTTTATACGATATGATTTCAATTCAATTAAAAAAGAATATATGGGCCCTGAGCAGGTAACTTGGTTGGTTGCAGGATTGATCCCTGGTCAGGGCACATACATACAAGAATCAATCAATAAATGCATAGATAAGTGGAACAACAAATCAATGTTTCTCTCTCTCCTTCCTCTAAAATAAATTTTAAAAAGAATAAATGCATGATGTATGTTTCTACTTATCTGCATTCTCGTAGAGTCTTTTTAAAACATATTTTTATTGATTTCATAGAGGAAGGGAGAGGGAGAGATAGAAACGTCAATGAGAGACAACCATTGATTGGCTGCCTCCTGCCTGCCCCTTACTGGGGATCGAGCCTGCAACCCCAGCATGTGCCCTTGAACGGAATCGAACCCAGGACCCTTTGGTTCGCAGGCCAATGCTCTATCCACTGAGCCAAACCAGCCAGGGCTTATAGAGTCTTAAAAACTTCTGACAGACTGATAAGTTTAACAATGGTTTAATTGTTATAGGGGGAAGTGAGAAGGAAGGAAAGAAGCACTTGGCTTTTTATTTTATCCCTGTAGTAGTGGTTGAGTTCTTTTTCACTATGTGTAGGTATTACTTTTGTCATAAAAAAAATAAGTGGGACATTGACTTTTGTGTGTGTGATTTTTTATGTATTTTTAAAAATCAGGTGATCCTTTAAAATCAAGCAGTTAGTGTCTGTTTTGATTGATTCTATTCTCTTTAGCGTTTCTTCCCCCTGCCCCCCCCCCAATAATAAGAGCCAAAATGTATTGAGTGTGTTGTATGAGTCAGGCACTCTTCCCTCCCTGCTTTTTCCCCTAAAGTGCCAACTCTTCCAGTCCTTCATGTGACATTCCCAGTAATACACTGGGATCATGCCATCATCAGGGGTCAAGAAAATTAGTCAGCCAAATGTGCCCGGAGAGGGTAAGCTGAGCCTGTGATGTTAGGGGAAGAGGTGTCAGGACTCCATGCTTGTTCTAGATGATTCCACCTCCCTCTGGTCAGCAGGGGCAAAATCCTCTCTTTAAAAGATGCTAGTTCAGTGAAAAGTTGCCAGCTCAAGCCTGCGCAGTCCTATTCGATTCCTATTTTGCAGTGCCTTGGGGAAAACTGAGAATGAAAGTGACCTTGAGCACACTAAACACAGCTTGACTATTTACTATGTTCACTCCTGGTCTGTTCCTTTCTCATCCTACCCTGAAACGGTCCTTTTGGCATCTATCAAACAGTTCTAGGTTTACCTCCATGCCAAACTCAGCCTTTCATGGATCTACCTACCCAAGACTTCTAAACCACAGTTTAGAAGTGATCTGGGGAGAAAGGAGCGGTGGGTGAGGCATGAGCCGGGGAGTGGTGGTCTGACTGGCTGTGGAGCCCTTACTGTAGACCCGCCCCCGCTCTGTGGGAAGCTGTTTGTTTGAGTTGGGTGGAAGCCAATCAGATGCGCTGGCTCAGGGTGTCCTGGCCCAGGAGACAGGGGTTATTTGTCTTCTTTGTTTGTCCTCTCTGCGAGGAGGGAAGGGCTTAGAAACAGGGATGGAGCCGAAGGGAAAAGACAGTCAATCAAGTCTATGGGGCGAGCTCCTATTATTAGATCTATAGTCAAAACCCTGGCGCTCTTCCAACTTGGAGGGTCAAGGAGAGGAGTGGACGAGGGATTATTGAAAAAAGCAGCAAGTTCTAGATTTGACTCAACAGCTGCCTTCTGCATAGTCTTGGGCAAGTCCCTCTCCCTTCCATCTCCTCTTCCTCTGGAGGAGGTTAAGCATCCTGAAGTTCCCTCCAGTTCTGAAACACAAAACTCCTGGTGTGGGGTTGCTCAGCAGAGATGAAAGAAGGCTAAGAGGCCATTTGAAGCTCAGAACATTTCTAAATGGCTGTTAGTGGAGGGAGTCCTCCCTTGGTATTGATAGCAAACAAAAAAGAAATGTGCTTGCTTATTCTGGGTGTTGGAAAGGTTCTATGTCTTGATGGGGGAGCGGGATAATTACATGGCGTGTGCACATGTCAAAATGTATTGAGCTGTGCAATTTGTTGCCTGTAAATTACACCTCATTAGAAAGGTTTTTAAAATGAGCTTGAACTCCAATAGGAGTTTAGACTTCAGAAAAACTTCCTAACAAGAAAGACTTGAGAGAAGTGAATTTCTACCCAGGTAAGTTCTCTTGAGAACTTTAAGATTATGTACCTATGCTGAAAGAGGAGGTAGGGAAGTAGGGAAAAAATAATATGACCACTCTCTTGGAGAGCTTCCCCAAATCCTTCCAGCCTCAGACATTCCCATATCATGTCCCTTCCTGGGGACAGAAAAATCCTCATTGCTGTCTAATTTCCATCTCCCCTATTGCAATTCTAACCACACACTTCCCTCTATGGAGCCCAGCCTCACACAAGATCTCTTTAAAGCCTTGAAGCTTACAGCATTGAAGGAGACCCCATTTCAACCTTCTGACTGACCATTCACTGCCCCTCATCTCATTCTGTTCCCCTTGGGGATGTTAGTTCCTGTTCTAAGCCCACCCCCACCCAGACCCCTTTTCCGGTGGTGTGTGCCAGCCGGTCCTGCGTCCCACATCCCCAGCTGTTGACATTTTATTGCCATTACCCAAAGGATAAAGAAAGGGCCCCTGTTGTTTCAACAATGGGGGAAAGACGGGGACAATGGGAAATTGTGCTGCTGATGGGGTGGGGACAGAGAAGGAAAGGACAGACAGATAGACAGATGGGGGGCTGGACAGAAGGGGTCAGGTTTCTGGAAGCAGCTGGTTCCCACCTTGAGAGCCTCTTCCCATAGGCGATGCGCACCCAGGCACCGGAGGGCAGAGGTGAGGACTTTGTTGGGAAAAGAGGAGGGGAGGGGTGCTCCATTCCCCCACCGCTCTTCTGGGTTTTCTAAGTTCCGGCCTATCATGGAGTTAGTGCCCATAAAGCCAAGATTGTTGACCCAGCAGCTTAGCCTGCAGATGAGGCCCATATGGAAAAATGCAGGCATCGGGAGCTTGACCGCTATGGACCTTTGAGCCTCATTCCTATGCCTATTGGCCCAACATCCTCATACCCACCAATCAATACCCTTCTCCGGTCCAAGAGCATCTAGATGAACCGGGGCACCTCACTCTCTGTACTCTTCCAGGTGGTCATTTCTGGTTGCCTCCTTTTCTCCATACCCCTTAATGGGTCCCTGCCCCATATCCCACACCCAGCATCTTCCCCTGGGCCCAGGGCAGTGAGCACGGCAGCTATAGTGCCTGGTCACAGGGCTGGACATGGGTCACTTACCCTGGCTCAGTGGAATAATGGGTCGTGGAGTTCTTGGACCCTTGGCTTCTTCTGTGAGCTCAGGGCAGGAGCCTTTCCTCAAAGGTGCAGAAGGCGCGACTACACTGACCAGATGCCTAAGTCCAGGGCTCTGAGGTGCTTGGACCTCCCAGTGACAACTCCTTCACCTGGAACCTCTTCCTCCAGCAGGACAAAAAGCTGCCAGTCACTGCTCCCTCCATCGCTGTGAAGAGACCAGCTTTTAACAGGTAGGTGCTGGAGCTGTTGCTGCCTTCTCTCATTCTCTGTAAGGAGTATGAAGATGTGTGTGCGCTTGCTCTAAAATACAGAAATATAGATCAGTCATAAAGAAATTAAGCGTCAGTCAGATCCTGATTCAAATCCCAGAGAACCCCTCCTCTCACAAGCTGTTTGACTTCACTCAAGTTTACTAAAATGTATGCACCTTTGTGTGAGTATATAAAATGGGGTTCAATCATCGTTCCTACCTTGTAGGATTGCTGACAGGTGTAAATATAAGAGTACACATGTAAAGTGCGTGGGGCCGTCTCAGGCACGTTAACGCTAGCTATTACTATTGGTCCCTCAGTGAGTCCGCCCCCACTATCACTCTGCTTACCAGGTTCTCCTGTACTGAACTGGTTCTCTTGCTCGTGTCCCTGTCCCAGATACTTTCCCTATTAGCCACGGGGAAGTCCCTTCTGTGCCTAACCCCCATTTCTCGTTCTGCAAGGTCGTCTTTGACCTTCATTTGCAGAAAGATGGAGCTCAGCTCCTAAGCCTTCTGACTCCTCCTCAGTGTTTTCTCCCTCTCTCCATGTCCCAGCTCTCCTTCCCAGAAGTCCTGCATATGAGCTCACTCATTAACACACAACACACATTAATTTAGTACCTACTGCATGCCAGAAACTATGTTGGGAGCTGCAGAATGAGCAAACACATACATAGCACTACTACATATCAGGCACTATTTTAAGCAGTTTATCTATATTATTTTCATCAAATCCTCACAATTACTCAGTAAGGGAGGTGCGCATTATTATCCATATTTTACTAATGAGGACATCAAGTCAGAGTGAAGTTAAGTAACTTGTTCAAAGTCATGCAGTTAGGAAGTGGAGGAATCGGATTTTTAAAATGAATAAAACTAGGTTAAGGGGTCCTCAGTTTTAAAAATAAATATCAAGGTGATGAAGAATAGATATAATAAAGGAGAAAAAGAACTACTGGAATAGACAACTGTGTTTGAAATCTTTTTTTATAACTATAACTTTATACTTTATAATTACTGCAAACCTTACTACATATACATATGTATTACTTTCAAATTCACACAGCTGACTTAGCTGCTGATAAAAGTACTTCTAAGGGGGAAAAATCCCCAATCCAGTGCAGTAGGGGAACCAGATAAGTGGATCACAGGGCACCACAGTGTGGTGAACTGGGGGGAAGAGAAAAAGCTTCCCAAAGGAGGTGAGGCCCAAACTGATGTCTGTGAGGAGGTGAGAGTGAACTTGGACTGTTCTGGAGCCAGAAGTCCAACATGTGTGGAGCGCAGTGCAGAAGGCACAGGTGGTGAAGTGCAGGGAGAGACTGGATCACAGAGCAACTGGGCTTTATGCTCAGGGCAACAGGGAGAGATTGTTTTAAGCAGGAAACATTTACTCTGGCTTCAGATGGCAATGAGTGTGGAAGAGGATAGAGACTGGAGCTGACAATCCAGATGGCAAGACTTGGGAAGTGGCACTTGTGATGAGAAGGGGATAGGTAGAGGACCTGCTGACTGAAGGGATGGGAGAGGAAGCAGGATGGGCAGAGGTGGGGGTGTGGTTGCTATTGACCCCCTCCCCCTCCCACTTTCCTTTTGCCATGAACATAAGCCCCTTATTACTGCCCCATGGCTTCCAGCTGGACAGTCCCTCTGAGGAATCCCTGCTGGGAGTTTATCTCCAACCCTGCTTTCCCCGACCTGTCCCCACTCCCTTAGCCCTGAAGAATGGCCCACCCTTTGTGCCTTGTAGACCCAGCTAGGCTGACTCCCCATCATGCAAGGTTGGCTCAATCTCCCCACACTCTGTCACTTCCTTCTCCTGTGGGCCTTCACCACCTTCCACAGAGCCCTCGGGGACCCAGGTAAGATCTCAGTTCCTGCCCAGAATCTGTGGGCGAGAAGCTCCAGGTGTGGGAAAAGTGGGAAAGGCAGCTGTTGGAGGTACCCAGGGAGTGAGAGTTATTGCTGAGTGGGCAGTGGAGGAGAGAATGGGGCCGCCTGGGGAACAGGGTTTGGATGGGCACTTGGCACAGTGGGGGTCAGGGGGTTCCTGCCACTGTGGCCCCCTCTGCTCAGCATCCTACCGGGGCCCCCACTACCTTCTGCCCCCCATCCACGAGGTCATTCACTCTCGTCGTGGCGCCACGACCACGCTGCCCTGCATCCTGGGCACCCTGCCTCCCAGCTACAAGGTGCGCTGGAGCAAAGTGGAGCCAGGGGAGCTCCGGGAAACCTCGATCCTCATCACCAACGGACTGCATGCCCGGAGCTACGGGGCTCTGGAGGGCCGAGCCAGGATGCGGAGGGGGCATCGGCTGGACGCCTCCCTGGTCATTGCGGGCGTGCGCCTGGAGGACGAGGGCCGGTACCGCTGTGAGCTCATCAACGGCATCGAGGACGAGAGCGTGGCGCTGACCCTGCGCCTGGAGGGTGAGGCCCGGCGGTTCCAGCCCCCTCCTCGCCAGCGGGGGAGACGGGCGGGGGCGGATCCGGGTATCCCAGGGCTCCTCCCTCAGCATCTGCCCCGCCCTCTCGGCACGGCGGCCCCGCCTGTTCTTCCCCTCCCTCGTCTGCCGGCCCTCCCCAGGCTGTCTGCCACCCCACAGGTGTGGTGTTTCCGTACCAGCCCAGCCGGGGCAGGTACCAGTTCAATTACTACGAGGCGAAGCAGGCGTGCGAGGAGCAGGGCGGACGCCTGGCCACCTACGCGCAGCTGTACCAGGGTGAGCGGCCCGGGCACCGCCTAGGTCCCCTCCGGGCTGTTACAGGGCCCCCAGCGGAGGCGACCTCCGGGTCTGGCTCCTGCCTGTGACGCCTCTAATCCCTCGTCTGCCGCCAGCATGGACCGAGGGGCTGGACTGGTGCAACGCGGGCTGGCTGCTCGAGGGATCCGTGCACTACCCTGTGCTTACCGCGCGTGCTCCGTGCGGC